TGCTGCGAGTTTTCTTCAGATGAGCCACATTGTAGAACGGTGCACACAGGCCTTGTGGAAGTTTATAAAGCCAAAACAACCAATGGATAGTAAAGAGGGATGTGAACCGCAGAGTGCTTCTCCCCAGTCAAAAGAACAGCAGGGAGATGCCAGAGGCTCCCCAAAGCAGGACTCACCTTGTATTCATCCATCTGAAGACAGTATGGATATGGAGGACAGTGATATTCAGATTGTTAAGGTAGAATCTATTGGGGATGTATCAGAGGTTAGAAGTAAAAAAGATCAGAACCAGTTTATTTCTTCTGAACCCACTGCTTTACATTCATCAGAGCCCCAGCACTCCCTGATAAATTCAACTGTGGAAAACAGAGTAAATGAAATAGAACAAAACCATCTCCACAATTATGCCCTCTCTTACACAGGCAGTGATAACATCGTCATGGCCTCAAAAGATGTCTTTGGGCCTAATATTCGAGGTGTAGACAAAGGCCTACAGTGGCATCATCAATGCCCAAAGTGTACCAGGGTGTTCCGTCACCTGGAGAACTACGCCAACCATTTAAAAATGCACAAACTCTTTATGTGTCTACTCTGCGGCAAGACTTTTACTCAGAAAGGCAACCTTCATCGACATATGCGCGTGCATGCCGGCATTAAACCTTTCCAGTGTAAAATCTGTGGGAAAACCTTTTCTCAGAAGTGTTCCTTACAGGATCATCTTAACCTTCACAGTGGAGATAAGCCCCATAAGTGTAACTATTGTGACATGGTTTTTGCACATAAGCCAGTTTTGAGGAAACACCTTAAACAGCTGCATGGCAAAAACAGCTTTGATAATGCCAATGAGAGAAACGTGCAAGATCTCACAGTGGATTTTGATTCTTTTGCATGTACAACAGTCACAGACTCTAAAGGGTGTCAGCCACAGTCTGATGCAACACAGGTCCTGGATGCAGGTAAACTGGCCCAAGCTGTGCTGAACTTAAGGAATGATAGTACTTGTGTGAATTGAGTAAGGGGCTTTATGCTCAAAACTAGAACTGATGGAAAATGTGGCAATAGTCTGAGTCTTCTTAGGAGTGATTTTGCTAGTTTGACTTCTCCAAAGCCTCTGTGCAGGTTGTAGGAGTGAATCAAAGTACTAACAGACCAGGCAACTTATCACTTGGAGTGGTCTTGCCTTCCTTTTGCCCTCTCTCATTTTCTGTTTTGAATTATCTTGTGACTTCTGTCTTCCTTTCCTAAGGAGTATTCCATTTGTCTACCTAACATTGACTTATGTTTTAGACTGACACTATTTTTGGCTTTTCACTGGGCACATTCTGAAGGTACCAACAAGTTAATAATATCACCTGAACTCCACTAATGGATGCTATGCTAAGAGAAGTGAATAACATCTTTCTTTGGCAGAAAATAGGCTAAGATATAAAGCAATATTGCTATTGGCCTGAATATGTGATAGAACTTCTGGTTGCCTATTGATAATTCATCTATGTCTGGTCTGATGAATGAATGCATCTACTTCCTACCATTTGTACTTTTCTTGGAGCTGGCTATAAACAAGTATTTGAGGTTTTTCAGCACACTTTTCAACAGTATTATGGCCCATGACCTAACTTCATGTCACTGAATTGTTCACATAGACCAGAGCACAGTCTTTTCAGCAACATCTGCAGACACAGTAAGATATCACCATGAGAAGCATAATCAACAAAGGATAGAAGTACAGTTGTACATCAGTTTTACATGGAAGTCTTCCTCAAAAGAAGCCAAATGCTTATAATTAATATGTAACTTACTTGTTGATGCTTTTTAACTCAGGATGGCTCCAAGCATGCTAATGTATAATAGTCTCTCTAAAAAAAAAACTATTTGGGAGTCAGTCTTTGGACTGTTTTAGAGGTTAGCTATCAGAGAGGTATTTAGCCATCAGAAAGGTGTTTGGCCTTCAGAGTTTTGTCCAGTATATTCTAAGAGTCTCTGAATTCTCACTTTCTCATGAATCTGAATTTCTGAAATGGATGAAAAAAGTGAGTCATGGAATGAGCAATCAGGCTTTTGCATTCAGATATTCCTACACAGTCCCACCTTGCCATGTTTGATAGATCGCTAATGCAAAGTTTATCTTCCAGTATGGTAAAACAGAACTACTGTTTGTCCTAAAGCACATGTTATAGTTCAGAAATAAAATTTTGAGTCATATTAGTTTCTGGCCCATGAGTTAGATATAGGTAATAGGAGTATTAGAGTCCTTTAGAGAGTCTTAAGAGAGCATATACTCCACCTCTTTTTTTTGGGGGGGGGGGGATCCAAAGAGGTGGCCTGGCCAAGGTTGGCCAAAGTAGATAAGTGACTAAATATGACCAAATGTATCCTCATTTCTTCTCACTATCCTTTGGCTTAAAAAGATTTTGTACACGATCAAGGACACATTAGCAAAAAGCTCACCTTTGTGAATCCCTATTGGCTTTCTGAGACAGCCTGCATTTTGCAAATATCACAGAAGGATTTATTTTTGTTACTTATTTTTTAGTTAGAATGAAGATTACATTATTCCCAAGCCAAGTGACTGATGTGCTGTGTATTGGTTAGCGAGGGTAAGAATAAATATGTAAAGGATCTAAATGTGACACTGATCTTGTCTGGAAACAGTGTTTATTTAATTTCCATCAGGATTCTGTTTTTATTTTTAAGCTATGAGAGTACATGTACAGATAAACCAAAAATTAGGTCTAACTTGAGTAGTCAGAGTTGTTGTAATTTGATATAATTACATGTGAATCTGATTTGAGGTATAATTTCTACCTTTTGTTAAAAGATTTAAAATGAGAATAAAATTGAGTGATAAGACTAAAAGGTATTTTATGACTAAGGTCACTCATTATATGGTCTATTGATGCTGCCTAGCATTCTGATTTTTATATGACTCAGCCAAAGACTACCAATTCTATGCAACAGTGAGACACTACCATGTTAACCAACATTCACTGTTTCCTTTGAACATCATTTCATCGCGGAAAATTCATGTTGGAGTGCTTCCGTTGCTTACATTCATGTCCTATTTTTGTTGCTGGTTTAAAGACTAAAAGGCATGGGTTCAAATAGATTGGTCTCTTTGGTTGGAGACTATTTCTGGGTTCATATAGCCATTCAAGAAACATCTGTTAAGCACCTACTGTTGCCAGACACTATGCTAGATGCTGAGGATATGAAGGTAAGATTGCAATGGTCCCTGCTCTCACAGAGTTTACAGTCTCATGTGGTTTTAGGGAGCTAAGATATCAATTTTATTTTATACTAAGAATAATAAAGGAAACTACCTTGCTTTCTTTGATCACTTAAAATCAGCATCTTACGGTTTTGTATCAGTAAAAGCTATAGTTCTCATCTTTTGTAACTGCAAACCACTGAAGTGATTTCCAGTCTCCTCCATTTCTCGGCTGGAGAGGTGTTCTGTTTCTGTGAGACATTTTCTTAATTTTGGTGGGATTTGACTTTTCTCCTTTGTTTATACATGTTTCTTAGATTGTACTGCAAAGTGGTCAAGTTATTGATATTAAATACGTTTTATAGAGGAAGCTTTTTAAAAACCTTAGTTATTCAGCATTTGTATTTTATGGATCCCCAGGATAACTAAAAAGGGGAGAATGCTCCCTTTACCGTAGTTGTTTTTTGTTTTGTTTTTAAAATACTGTATCACAGTTATTTATTTATTATTTAATTTTAAAGACATACTCCAAACCGAAGCAGCTCTGAGGTAAATCAGATGTGGTTTTAATTTGTTTTAGTTTCTTTTTTAGAAAATCTGTAAGTGGAAGGTGACCAGTGTCACTACTTTTAAATATTGTCCTAAACAACAACCTAGAACATTTTATTTCAGCTGGTGAATAGCTGTTCTAAACCTGTTGTATGTTAGACATACTATGAACTACCTCTTCACTTATTATGGGGAAGTTTCCTTAATAAAAGTGTGACAATTAAAGCTCTGGTGTGAGTGGTTTATTTTCTTTCCCCTCCTTTCCTTTTCAATTGCTTGAATATGAATACAGGAATGCTTTTTTCATTCCTACCTTTAAAACACATTAATCAAATGTGCTGAACTTGGCTTCAGAAGCAAATATGGGTTAACTAGAAATTGTTACTAGGTCAGTTACTTCAATGAGAGCCTGTTGACTACAGGGTAGAGCGACTGCTTTTAAGAACTGGTTCAGACATTCCTTCATTTGACAAATACTTGGATGCCTTCTCATTGCTAGACTTGGGGAATGCAAAGACCAATAAGGCACTGCCCTAAATACCTCTGCCTAGATAGGATGCAGATCTCAATCCTGGAATGATAATTGCAATAATGAAGGCAGCCAAAAGGTTGATAGGCTCCCAACTGAGAGCCAGCTAATTCAGGGCAGTTCAAGGTGGCTTTAAGGACGATGGGATTTTGAAGGATAAATGGGAGGAGGGATCGGGCATTCGGGGGGAAACAGGAGGGCCAACAGTTTAGATGGAAGGCTTGGGTGTACCAGGAAACGGGGCGGGGGTGGGGGGTGAGAAGGAAGCGGTAGATTCAAGGAGGAGGGATCTCTGGATAGGGCCAGATCCCGACGGGGCATTAGGTAGGCAATCTTGAATACTAATCCCTACGGCAGTCTCCTCTCCTTTCCTCTGTCACCTTTTAAATTGTCGATGGCCCAGGAAAGGAGAGGACCCGGCCCACAGTGATCCGTGAGGCCTCCCAGTGGTCCTGGCGCAGGGCATTCTGTCTGCTAGACGCGCTGTACCCCAACTTCGTAACCCGCCTGCGATTCGGAGGTTGGGGAGAACTCACGAAGGGGAATGGCTGGCTGCGGATACTGGGACTGGAGAGATGCGATTTGCCAGAATTCGGGCATCTTTCTGTCATTCCGCGGGGGTGGGAGAGTGTGGAAGGGAGGTCTCGGGATGTCCTTCCGGGACGCCTAGCCCGCCCAGGAGGGCTAAAGCTAGTTGACACCGGATGTGTTTCCTCGCAGGCTAAGTCCAACTTCCGGTCCGGGCCGCCTCTGCCGCGGAAACCTCGGTTCTGGTTTTCGGAGTGGGTGAGTGAGCGAGCGAGCGAGCGAGCGCGAGGGAGACTCGGGCAGGTGGGGAAGCCGCAGGAGGAGGAAGAGGAGGGCGGCTGGGCGCCGTCTGCGAGTGGCTAGACCGGTGCTGCAGACACCCGGCCGGCAGGGCCGAGGTCCTGGCAGGCTTGGTGGGGAGGACCTGTGGCGAGCTGGCGGATCTTCCAGGCCACTGGGGTCCGGATTCAGTTCAACAGATGTTCCTTAAGCTGCTTCTGCTCCGTGCCGGTCTGCAGTGCTCGCTGCAGGAACTCAGATGAACCAGGCACTATTTAGTGATGTTCTGGAAGCAAGCGACTGGGGGGGGGGGGGGTAGTCACAGAAGTCTTACTTGATTTGGGCTTTAAAGGAGCTAAATCACTAGCTGGAAAGAGTAGCTGGAAAAGCGAGTGTAACGTGCAGAGGTACTTTCGGGTCTTGTCTGGGAGTGATGAAAATCTGAATATCGAAGGAACTTCGATGAAAAAGAGTAGAGGACCCTGGCCGGTTTGGTTCAGCGCTTAGAAAGTGGGCCTGCGGTCCAGAGAGACCCGGGTTCGGTTCCCGCTAAGGGCACGTACCTCGGTTGCAGTTTGTCCCCGGCCCTGGTTGGTTGTGCGGGTGGCAGCCACTCTTGTGCCCTTTTCACGTTGATGTTTCTCTCTCTCTCTCTCCCTCTCTCTCCTTCCCACTTTCTGAACAAAAAAATGGAAGAATGTCCTCGGGTGAGGATAAAAAAAAAAGAAAAAGAGTAGAGGAAAAATAAAGGTATAAAGGTGTTTAGGGCCAAATCATGAAAGGTCTTTTATTTGCTAAGAAGAGTAGGCTGAATTGTCGTTAGAGGGAAGCAGAAAACGGGGGAAGAAGTTTTAAAAGATGTCAATTCTGATAGCACTCGGGAGGGTAGTTTGGAATATAGGAGACTGGTATCAAGAACTGTTGGAAGACATGGCAATGGTCCAGGTGAACAGAGTGATGGGGGGGTGGGGTGTCAAAGTTTGGAGATTACATTAAGGTTTCTAATGTAAGTTGGGAAACTGAAATCTTTTAGTAGTCCATGTTAACACCACAAGGCACATACATTTAGCCAAGGAGAAAAACATAGCTGTTAAGCACAATTCAGTATTATAAGTCCTGTAATAAAATATGAAAAATGTGCTGCGAGCCCTGGCCGGTTTGGCTCAGCGGTTAGAGCGTCGGCCTGCGGTCCTGAGAGACCCGGATTTGGTTCCCGCTAAGGGCGCAAACCTCGGTTGCAGTTTGTCCCCGGCCCTGGCCGGTTGTGCGGGTGGCAGCCACTCGATGTGTTCCTTTCTCATCGATGTTTCTCTCTCTCTCTCTGTTCCTCTCTCTCCCTCCCACTCTACCTGAACAAAAAAAAAAAAATGGAAAAATGTCCTCGGGTGAGGATTAAAAAAAAAAAAAGAAAAATGTGCTGCGAGATCATAGAGAAATGCATTTTAATTTTCTGGTTTTTGAGATGATGGCATAGGAGTTCGCTATTAGCACCCAGATTAGAATTTGAATATTCTTTTACCCAGTTCAGGTTTGGGATTTTTTATATTTGTTTGCTTTTACTATCACAGTGTAGGAAAGCATTCCCGGTCCTTATATCAATGTTTGTATTTTATTTTGCTTAGATTGTGACCATGGCTGCAGAGTCTGATGTTCTGCACTTCCAATTTGAACAGCAAGGAGATGTAGTCTTGCAGAAAATGAATCTCTTGAGACAGCAGAATTTATTTTGTGATGTGTCGATTTATATTAATGACACTGAGTTCCAGGGACACAAGGTGATTTTAGCTGCTTGCTCCACATTCATGAGAGATCAGTTTTTACTCACTCAGTCAAAACATGTCAGGATCACCATCTTGCAGAGTGCAGAAGTTGGCAGAAAATTGTTGCTGTCTTGCTATACTGGAGCACTTGAAGTTAAAAGGAAAGAGCTTTTGAAATACTTGACTGCTGCTAGTTACCTTCAGATGGTCCATATTGTGGAAAAGTGTACAGAAGCTTTGTCAGGATATCTGGAAATTGATCTTTCTATGAAAAACAACAATCAACATACCGACCTGTGTCAATCCTCTAACCCAGATGTTAAGAATGAAGAAGAAAATACAGATAAAGACTGTGAGATAATTGAAATATCAGAAGATAGTCCTGTAAATTTAGATTTCCATGTTAAAGAAGAGGAAAGCACTGCTTTGCAGTCTACAGTAGAGAGCTTGACATCAGAGAGACAAGAAACGAAGTCACCAGAGCTGTCTTCAGTTGATATAGGTTTTAAAGACAATGAAATTTGTATCCTTCATGTGGAATCTATCAGTACCGCTGGTGTAGAAAATGGGCAATTTTCACAGCCTTGCACCTCTTCAAAAGCAAGCATGTATTTCTCTGAAACACAGCATTCACTGATCAATTCTACAGTTGAGAGCAGAGTGGCAGAAGTTCCTGGAAATCAAGATCAGGGCTCCTTTTGTGGGAATACTGAAGGGAGTCATGGTACAGCGAATGAGATTCAGAATATGGAGGATGTTTATTCACTGAGGCACCAGTGCCCCAGGTGTCCACGAGGATTTCTTCATGTTGAAAACTATCTGCGCCACCTTAAGATGCATAAACTATTCTTGTGCTTACAGTGTGGGAAAACATTTACACAGAAGAAAAATCTCAACCGGCATATTCGAGGGCACATGGGCATACGGCCCTTTCAGTGTACTGTGTGCTTGAAGACATTTACTGCTAAAAGCACGCTGCAGGACCACTTGAACATACACAGTGGGGATCGGCCATACAAATGCCAGTGTTGTGATATGGATTTCAAGCACAAATCTGCCCTCAAAAAGCATGTAACCTCTGTCCATGGCCGGAGCAGTAGTGAAAAACTACCCATTCATGATCTCAAAAAGCAAAATCTGTTATAAATAGAATCACGCCTTGCTATGGAATCCAGATATTATTCTGGTAGGCAAGTCTTGCTATAGAAATGCAGCATTTGTAATACTGCATTTTCTCCTCATCGCTGGGTCTTGTCTTTGGTCTGCCTACACATTATTCTTCCTAAACGTATACTATGAATTCCAAAGTGTGGGAGACATGGTAAAGCAGATAGAATGTTATCTCATGTCTTGTATTATATAAGTCCCAGTGATATACCTGAAATATTCTTGATTCTAATGACAAGATCCAGCAGTATTTACATATTTGGATTTTGAGTCTCTAGATAATTGATGGAAGTCTAAGAAAATCTAACAATGTACTAACTGTAATGAATTAGGATAATGGGAAGGGAAAGTAAATTTTAAAGCACACTGTTATCCATTATTAGTCACTTTAAGAATAGATAGAACTAGTAAATTTTTTAACCAACTGCTTTGGGATTGATTGTAAACTAAATGCCAAGTTACCCGTTGTTTTAAAATATAAAAGAACACAATTCATATTCACTTGAGAATAGCAGAATTTCCTTATATATTTCTTAAAATACTATTTCCATGATTTGTTAATATACACATTTTGTAAATGATTAATTAGGCCCCAATGTCTAGATTTTATTTAATGCCGTGGCATCTAATAATTTTGTGGCCACTAAAATCATACCATTAGCTTGAAGCTCTAAAAAATTACTTTTTTAGAAACTGGAACTTTACCAAAAATATTTGTTCTACCCTTTTCTTTTTTTAATTTATTTAATTTTTTTAGTTAAATAATAAAATTGACCTTTGTCAATTTTGAATCTATGTAATAGAAATGGTGTGCTCAAAACACTTGTAGCAGACATCTCTGAGGTTATTAGACAGAGGAACACTTCCCATATCTAGCTGCTTCTCACTGCTCATTTCTTTTTTTATTTTATTTTATTTTTTTTATTGATTCCCAGAGAGAGAAGGGAGAGGGAGAGAGAGATAGAATCATCGATGAAAGAACACATCGATTGGTCGCCTCCTGCATGCCTCCAACTGGACCCACAACCTGGGCATGTGCCCTGACCCGGAATCGAATTGGCGACTTTCCGGTGCATGGGTTGACACTTAACCACTGAGCCACACTGGCCAGGTTTAATTCCTTTCTTGAATAGTGTTGCCCTCTGCTAAATGACTTGTTTCTGGTATACAGTTTCATGTATAGATTTGTGCAACCACCACATCCATCACCCCCCCAAAACTCCCTTATGCTGCCCTTTTGTAGTCAGTTCCTTCTCCTAATTCTAAACCCTGCCAGCAGTTCTCCATCGGTATAGTTTGCTTTTTCTAGAATATCACAAATGTAATCTTGTTGTATATGCCCTTTTGAGATGCTTCTTTCACCTAGCATTATGCCTTTGGGATTCATCCATGTTGTATGTATCAGTAGTTCATTCCCTTTCTTACTCTGAATTGTCAGTACATATTCATTTTTTTGCTATCACATGGGCACCATTAGTGTTCTCTTAATTATTAATAATTTTCATTAACATTAACTATCTTTAGAATTTTATGCTATATTTCCAGTAATGTGCCAAAAGCAAAACCATGACCATATGGTTGTTTTGCTGAGAATAATATTTCAGATTGTGTTATGAGCCATTGCTCTCTAATATCCTTGTCTATGTATAAGACAAAACTTTTTTTGTCATAACATAGATTAAACTATATTGCAGGGCAAATCATATTCTCTAAAAAACAGGAACCACTTTTAGTAATGAAGCCTGACTGGATATATCTTATTTTCAAGGTGTTGTATTCCTCTTCTACTCACCTCACCTTTATGTAGAATTTCTGCTATATTTAGTATCTGTTGAAGCCCTTCCATATTTTAATATGTAATATACTTTGTACCATTTATAAGAATTTTGTGATGAATCACATGTGGATTGTTATAAATGTTAATGATCTCTTTTGTGATACTTGTGAAAAATATATTTTCTATAGAATTTTAACTCTGGGAGAGACTTTAAAGTTAAAGTCCAGCTCTCATATTTGATAAGAAAGCTGACTTCATTCCCCACTTCCCACCCCAGTCACCATTTAGTATCATTGGACAGGTCACCTCTTCTTGAGCTTCTCTTAAATTTATATGCAAAATAATGACTTTGATCTTGATGATTTGTAAGATCATTTCCAGGCCTAAAAATCTGTGATTTTATATTTAAATCTTCTGGAGTTCCTAAGAACAGAGAAGAAGGAAAAGCAAAAAAGGAGAGTTTGGTGTCTAAATGTTGCTATTTGTGCACTTCATTGGAGATACTTTTTCTAAAGTAAATAGTGTTTTTCTTCCACTGGGGAACATGATAGTGCAGTGCTTAATTTTCTTTCTCATTTCATCCATGATTAGCCAGTTGTAGGCATGAAAACATTTTTCTATCAGAAATAGTTTGTGATTGAAATACTTTCCTTATTTTTGCTTTCTAGGGTAACATTTTGTCAGGGAGGGATGCAAATAGGGGTGGGTGAACAAATAGTAGTAAACTTTTTTGTTGTTTTAGGAATTATCTATCTTTAATGTTTAAAAATAACTATGGTTGAACTATATTTAAGTTTTATGTGTGCCTTGTAAAATTCTTGTGAAATTTTTTGTAAGCACCTTGAGATTTTTGCTTGGGGGGAAGGGGTGTTTTGTGAAAGTGATGGTTGTTATTTATTTATTTATTCCTGTTCAGTTAGTACAGAGTGATCTCAAAACATTTCTAGGAGAATGTCTGTTTGCATGATGTGCTTAAACAATTTCAGGAAAATGAAATCTTTTTAAAAATGCAGATACGACAAACTAAAGTGTTGAATGTATTCATTTAAACATTCACTTTTAGTTTGTGTTTTGATATGATGGAAAAAATGCAATATGTGTGTCTTCAGCTTCTTCATTTACTGCATTTTTGTATAAAAGATCTTGGAAAGGTAGTTGTTACTTTGGTGTAAGAGAAAATCCTTTCCCTTTTTCCTTGGATGTAACTATCCTATATGTTTACATATGAAATAAACTGGAGATGGGAATGGAGAGCTTTGTGTTTTGTCTACATCTCTGAATTTTAAAGAAGGAAACTATTTCTCCTGGCTATTCATTTAATCATTCATTCAACAAATATTTACAGAGTTCTTACAATATCTAGAAGTTATGTATACCAACAAAAATCCCTGCTCTTATGAAATTCTAGTGGAGGGAGACAAAATGTAAACAAGTAAGTAAAATTAATGTATGTCAGATTTTGGAAATGGAAAAAATAAAGCAGGGATTGCCAGAGAAGGAGAATACTGATTGTAATTTTAAATATAATGAGTGGTCAGGCCACCTTTGAAAAGTGTTAGATCATCATGTACAACTGTCCAGTAAAATAGAAAACAAACACATATATATGTACGTATATGTGTATATATACATATCTGTGTTGCTATACACACATACACACCCATCACTAGTTGAGTGGAAGACTGAACCAAATGAACCATTGTCAGGAATCCTAGGATTGTCATACATCATAAAGAGTAAAGTATAAAAATAATAAAAATGTAAGGGAGAACAGTCTTTCATGTGGCCATTGAATTAAAAAAACAACACGTTTTTTGGTCTTCCAGGCAGTAATAACCATATTTTCTTTAAAGCTCATTATAGTTTATAAACTACTTTCCCACATGTCTTCTAATTCATTGTGGGTTTACTTCATAAGTGCATTTGTCGGACATCTGTTTTTATATTGGAAAGGGCCTTGAGTTTAATGACAATTCATGGCCATTTTCTTAATCTGTTTTTCAGTTTCTCATCAGGAATAAAGAGTACATAGTATCTGCCTTTTAGGATTATTTTGACGATAAATGAAATATAAGTAAAAGTAGTAAAAATGAAAATTTTATTAACACAGGATCTGGCACATAGTAAGTAGTCCATACATATTAATTCCCCTAGCTCTATTCCCAGCCTATTTCTTCCTCTGTAAAAACAGAATAATTTCTACCTTGCACTTTACTGTGAAAAATCCTGCAACAAATATTTATGGAATTATTAATGCCAGAATTTGTGCTTGAATTTTGATGCCTTCCAGCTTCGGAGGAGTTCAGTTTTCTCTTTCATAGAGAGATATGTGTTATTGTCTGCCAAACAAATATTCCCTTTTTCTTTTTTTTTAAACGGAGATCGCTTGGCACCTAGACGGATTGAGTAATGGGGCAATATTTGATTGTGGGAAAGTGATAAGAATGCAATATAGTTGTATCCGGTTATGCTAAATGGATACCACGCTTTTCATGAGCGCAGTCAGACACAGGCTCTCACCAATGTCCAAGAAGCTGGCTGAAGGCGCAGATGAATGTGCAGGGAGTTTCCCATAAACCCCTTCGGCTTGCTTAGGCATTCTAACAGCACCTCCCACAGTACTCCGGGTCTCCCTAGTCACGTGATGGGGGTTCGGCTCCACCAGAGGAAAGCTGATGCGCAGTCTAGGTGACAGAGGCTACTACGCTTCCCTTCCACCGCCCCTACTCCCGATCTTGCGTGATCTCGCGTGAAGTGGGGAGTATCTTCTCGCGAGAGTTAGGTCAAGATCCCTCCAGGTCCGCCTCCGTGGTGAGGAGGAGGTGGAGGCGGAGGGAGGAGGAGGAGGCCCGGTTGCGGCCTCCGCCGCCGCCAACGGGGCTGTCCCTGTAGCTCCCGATGGAGTTTGAGGTCGTGAAACCGCCGCCGAGCTCTGCCCCGGCGAGACGAGGCGCCTCAGTCGCCGAGCCGCGCCGTCGTGGGGCTCCCGGGAGCGGCCCTTAGCGACCCCGCCCGGGCCCCCTCAGGTAGGGCGGGGGCGGGCACGATGCGGCTCGGGCCCCAGTCCGGGTCCCCGGTCCCTGGCGGTCGGGCGGGAGACCTGTCTCAGCCTGGGGCCTGTATACTGTCGTCGCTGGTGCCCGGAGGGTTGGGAACCGAGGGCCGCACCTGACACCCGGACCGGGAGTCCGGCGAGTGCGGAGGCCCCTCGCCTTGGTCGGGCATTTTCAATACCAAGGCCTGGCGCAAATGGCCACCTCCCTTCGACTGCTGCCGAGGGGACGCCTCTGACCCCTAAGGAATCCACCCGAGCAAAGGCCAGGCTTCCCTTCCCTTTCTACACCAGTTAGTAAGAGGCGGGTTGGAGGAGGCTCTCGAAACCAAGTACTCCAAGCTTTTCGGCTTTCTGCCCTGGGCTTCCCAAGGTCCTACAGCAGGGATGGTGGAGGCGAGATGAGTGGTTAATAGGGACCTGGCCAAACAATACCCTGGGAGGGTTTCACCTCCAGGGAGGGAGGGAGCGAGCCGGGCCAGAGTGGTCGCACAGTGGATGGGCCGAGCCCTGGCATGAAACAGCCAGGGAATTCTGCTACGGCTTTCTTCTTTCCCTCTTTCATTTTTCCTTCCTGGGGAAGCCTCTTCCACCATCTTAGAAGAATGGTAGAAAGCATCTTTGTTTCTCAGATGCAGATCGACTTTTCTCTGCCCTTAGCTTTCAGGGAAGGAGATGATGAGGGCAGCTGTCATTTACATCTTTCCAATCACAGAAGAGTTTTAAGATACCGGCAGATAGAACCTGGACACCAAAATAGTCCCAAGTAATCACTGACATAAACCAGATCTAATCTCGTGATTCCCAACCTGTTTTATATTTTCGATAACCACCTACGTTCCCTTTTAATTCCTACTCTCCATTTATCCAGGTCCCCTTTTAGTCCCT